AGAAGGCTCCAGGTCAAACTGCCAGAAGATGAGCTTCACTCTGAATCCTGTGGGCACTGTGATCACAGTGGTTTTCTCAAAGTTGCTGGGGTAAGGCTTGGGGTACAGAGGAGATGTCACCTCCCCAAAGAGCTTCTGCGAAACAGGGATGGAGCCTCCCACGCGGCAGAACAGGATGGGCACCAGGAGGTATAAGAGGCACCTGCCGACAAGAAAGTGGGTGTCTAGTGCTGGAGGGCTGCGGCACCCCTGCCGTTTGGGCAGTGACTGGGGTGGGGGTTGGGATGGTCCTACCGCTTGGCATTTTCCTTTCTGGCCATTCTAGGCCTCGTAGAGATGTTCTAGGTGGGGGTGGTGAAGTGGAGAGCCTGGCCTCTAAAGCCGCTGCATTGGGTGTTCCTCCCCCTGGGTAATGTCCAGTCTAGAGGTCATCATACTCCCTGCACCTCCCTCCCCATCCTCCTCCCCTGCCCTCTCCCACCACTCCCCTCCCCTTCCTGGAATAGGGCTGGCTTGGGACCAGTTAATGGAGGGTGAGGGTTTCCAGTCATGGCTCTCTGATGGGGCTCCCAAAGGCTCAGCAAAGACCTCTGGGAGAAACGACCCATGGAATATGGAGTCATGCACAGAACACACCCCTCCTGGGCACAGTGGGTCCCTTCATCTTGCTGCTCCCCTGCCATGAGTTAGGAGGAAGAAGGGAACATGGCCATCGCCTCATGGGTCTAAGGTCTCCTCCTCAGGAGGAGGGATGGTGGGGTATGTGTTTGCATAAGCACGTGTGTGCCTACGGGAATAGGTAAGGTATATGGGGAGGGAGGGGTGTTCCCGTCCCCCTGAATGAATTTGGGAGCAGGATTGCCTCCCATGCCCAGGATTCTCTCCTCTGGCTTCTCCCACCCTCCCAGGGCCCCATCAGCCTTACTCACATTTCTCAAGGTTTGTTTTTGGATCCTGGACTCTCCTGACAGTGTCTTCATCCACTCTGTGTTGAGGGAGAGAGCGGTCATGCAGGGGAGGCAAGGGGGAGGGAATGACTGTGGAGGGGAAGGAGGGGACCATTCCCGGAGGAATGTTGTAGGGAAGGAACTATTTGCATAAACAAAACGGAAAAAAAAATCTTTCCAGTTTAATGTAGTTTTGGTTTTGAAATCCCTGATGGTGGTGCCACCTGCTGGCGGCCTGGGGAAGGGCTAAGGAGATGGGCCCGAGTTTTTCAGAATGGAGAAAGCCTTTGGTTGGAAGCCCAGACTTCTCGGTTTCTATATCTGATCTGAATTCTCCCTTTCTTCAGGGACTGCTGCTGTGTTTACAAGGTCCCGATGCCAAAGGGAACGGAAATCGCAGTTGAGGGGGTACTCTCTTTTCTGCAGTGCCCTGTTCCATTAATCCGGTTCTTCCTGCCCTTACCCACCCGGGAGTGGCCAGGGTTTTAATGTCCAGGTTGGTGTGACAGGAACCATGAGGCAGAGAGGGCATGGCAGGAGCGGACAGAAGAGAACGGAGTTTGGTTGCACTGGGGCCCCAGCCCCCTTTCCCATGAATGACACTTAAACATGGGACACGGAGTGCTTATGTCAGGGTGACCCTACAGCAGCACTAGGGTCTGTCTTAAGACCCTTCCTCCTCACTTCAGTGAACTCAGACCTGCCCGTGAACTTGGTTCTTAGAGAGGCAAGGGAAGCTGAGCGAGGGTAGAAACATCCTCTTCTTCTCGGCATCTGGTCAAGTGTTTGAACCCCTGAGAGTCACGGTTGCCTAGGACCAGGCAGACATTATGTCTGCACACCAACAGTGACTTGGTCTTTTCTGAAAGAAAGTAGGCCCCTGGGAGGGAGGGAGGTTTTGTCTCTCCTGTGTCCCAGGCCATAGTCTCCTAATTGGAAAGTTTGTTCGCTGTGGAAGCCTTTCTTCCTCAACTCTCCATGGCTCAAATACCCTTTGGCATTCGATTCCAGAGGGAGGCTCAGGCAGAGCTGGCCTCCGAGTCGTGGACCTTTGTAGTCTATCCTGCTTGTTTCTCCAATTGGATTAACCCTCTTTCCCTCCACCCACCTACCCCCTCATTCATCCATGTATGGACTACCTATTTAATATGCCAGGTACTTTCCCAAGCAATGGATTGCAAGGACTCACAAAGATGGGGCAGTTCACCATTAGGCAATGACCAAGTCCTCACTGAATGTGGTTAGAGAGCAGGTACAGGAAGATGCGAAGTCAATCAAGGTGTGGAGGGTTCCTCCAGCAGGCCTAAATGTCAGAGCTGAGGATCGAATCTGATGGCAGGGCTGATCCATGACATAATCTGTGACATGACCCATGACCTGGTCAGGTCAGAAAAGACAAAAGATAGAGGAGAAGGAGAAGGACTGGATGAGGAGACGAGGAAGAAGGGGAATTTTTTTTTTTTAAAGATTTTATTTATTTATTTGTCAGAGAGAGAGCTCACAAGCAGGGGGAGCGGCAGGCAGAGGGAGAAGTAGGCTCCCACGGGGCAGGGAGCCCGATGTGGGGCTTGATCCCAGGACCCTGAGATCATGACCTGAGCTGAAGGCAGACGCTTAACGACTGAGCCACCCAGGCGCCCCAAGAAGGGGAATCTTGTCTCACAAATTGCACATTAGCATTTTGACAACACTGTGTGTGCGTGTGTGTGTCGTGTTCATAGTGGAGGCAATATGGAGGAGATCACAGGTAAGGAGCAGGTGGTCCAGGAAGGTAATTCTTAGCTGAAGTTCTCCTATTCATCCCAGGGATTCTGAGTATCATACAACATGGCTGCAAAGTGACAAACCTGGGCTTCATCACCTCAGTCCCAGGCCGGCCTCCTCTCTGCCAGGCCACTCAAAGGAACCTTTACTTGCACATTTGTCGTATACCGTTGACTTACACCAAGGACAGAAAGAAGAAACAGCCATATGAAGATTACTCCTGCACTGGTTTAAAGATCAGTATCAGGGGCGCCTGGGTGGCTCAGCCGTTAAGCGTCTGCCTTCGGCTCAGGTCATGATCTCAGGGTCCTGGGATCGAGCCCCACATCGGGCTCCCTGCTTGGCGGGAAGCCTGCTTCTCCCTCTCCCACTCCCCCTGCTTGTGTTCCCTCTCTCCCTGTCTCTCTCTCTCTGTCAAATAAATAAATAAAATCTTAAAAAAAAATAAAGACCAGTATCGAAGACATTGTCTATTTTATTGTTTATTCTTCTTAGGTTTTGGTTCTGGAGAAAAAAAGTTTCTCTCTTAAAGTAATGGTAGGTTACCTTATGTGGATATATCTAGACATCTAGATCTATATAGATCTATAGCTATAGATATATATTTTTTGCCTTGGCAGGGAGAAACATCATTTTTCAATAATAAAAACAAAATAAAACGAATACATGCTCATTAAATAAAATTTAGCAAAGTTTAGCAATTACGGAGGAATAGGGGAAAACAAAACAGCCAAAATTATACCACCTAACACAACTTCTGATTAGTATTTTAGGGTGTTTTAAAAAAGATTGATTGATTGGTTTTAAAGATTTTATTTATTTATTTATTTATTTATTTAACAGAGAGAGAGAGAGAGAGAGAGAGTACAAGCAGGGGGAGTGGAGAATCAGGCTCTCCTCTGGGTAGGGAGCCCAACTCAGGGTTTGATCCCAGGACCCTGGGATCATGACCACAGCCAAAGGCAGATGCTTAACCTATTCAGGTGCGCCAAGACTTATTTATTTTATTTTAGAGAGAGAGAAAGAGAGAGCAAACACAAGTGGGAGGAGCAAAGGGACAGAGAATCCCAGGCAGACTCCGCACTGATTGCAAAGCCCTACGTGCGGCTCAATCCCACGTTCCTGAGATCACGACCTGAGCCAAAACCAAAAGTCAGACACTTAACTGACTGAGCCACCCAGGCACCCCTTAGGGTGTTTTTAATAGTCTTTTATACTTAGGTTTAAAAATGGTTTAAAAAAATCGAAGTAACCACATGTATGTACAACTTTGAATCCTGCTGTTTTTCAAAGATCAATTTTTTTTTAAAAGATTTTATTTATTTATTCGACAGAGAGAGAGATAGCGAGAGCAGGAACACAAGCAGGGGGAGTGGGAGAGGGAGAAGCAGGCTTCCTGCCGAGCAGGGAGCCCAATGTGGGACTTGATCCCAGGACCCTGGGATCATGACCTGAGCCGAAGGCAGACGCTTAACGACTGAGCCACCCAGGTGCCCTCAAAGATCAATTTAACCTTTAACCAGGTAAGCTAACTTGACCTTCAGTGCTAGCAGATTTGCTCTCTTCTGTTTTATGGTATTAATTATCTATTTCCATTTGAACCATCGTATTTTACTCGTGTCTTTCACTGTAAATCACCTCAAGACCTTATTAAAAGTTAAAGAGCTGGTCTTCTCAGGTGGAGCCCAGACCCAGGTGTCCAGCAGCACTGGGAGGTGTCGGCCCCAACATCCAGCCCGGTGCTGGGCTCAGCTTGGGGTCTGCGGGAGACGGGGCTAGCAGGGAAGTGTGAGCCAGGTGTTGTCATCTTCAATGAAGCAGGAATTCCCAGGGAGGACCTGTACAGATGTGGGAATTGGGAAGGGGAAGCAGAGTTGGTCTGGAGGACAATCGGGAGGTATCATGGTGTTCTGGGAAGCCCATTGCCTTGGCAGTCCTGTCCCAGCTGTGGGTTTTGGGCAAGCCACTTTATCTCCCTGGGCTTCAGTTTCCTCATTTGTGAAATGTGGGTAATAACAGCTCCGTTGCAAACTTGCTGTGAGGAGTCAATGAAATAACCCGTGAAGCTCCTGGTATGCAGAACATGGGCTGTTTACTAGAATTGCAGCTAGGAGATACCGTTGGCAGGGGGAGGGGGGTGAAGCCAGTAGTTTGAATGCGTGAAGGCCAACTAGAGGGGCTTTGGAATGTTTCAGAAATGAAAACAGTTAAGACCACATCCCCCAGACCCCACTTGAACTGGGGGATGAGAAGGTGACCGTCTCCCAGGAGAGTACAGAAGAAGCCGTGTCAGCAGGAGATGAAGTTTAAAGGGAAACTGGCTGAGATGTCCAGGGCTTTCCTGGGTGGAGCGCAAACTCGGGCAAGAAGGTGGAGAAAGAGGAGGGGGGGGGCACTGGGAAGGAGGAGGAGCTCTCTCGCACAAGGGACAGGACAGGAATAGGGGTTCCCTGCCCCCAGCGCCATCCCTGAGCCCAGTCCTCCCTCCTAACCCTCTCCCGGATGGGGGGACGCTCCACAGCTGGGTGTCACTGTTCAAGCGCCCCCAGGGTCAGTCTTTCCCCTCCATCACTCCCTTGATCCAGTCCAGGTAGTTGAGCACTTTGGTGTAGAAGCCATAGCCCTTGCCACAGCCCACGCCCCAGGAGACTATGCCCGTGGCCACCCAGTGATGGGCGCGCTCATCCCATACCACATAGACGCCCCCGCTGTCCCCCTGGCAGACATTCTGCTGCCTCATCTTATCCCCAGCACAGAACATGTTGGCAGAAAACACCTCAGACCTCTGCTTCTCTTGGAGCCAGGCCTGGCAGGCCGCGCGCGGGGCCACGGGCAGCCCGGAGTATTTCAGCTGGGTGGTTAACCAGCCCTTGTCCACGCCGAAGCCACTGACGTAGCCCCACACGCCGCTGCGGTAGAGGGCCTGGCGCTCGGGCAGACAGACGGGCAGCAGGCTGGGGCCCAGCCGCACGCTGCGCCGCAGCTCCAGGAGCGCGATGTCCCCGTCGAAGTTGTGGGACTCGTGCTGGCGGTAGTCCGGATGCACCACCACGCGGCGCACAGGGTGGCTCCCCAGCCGCAACATCTCGTCTACGCTTGTGTGGCCCAGGAACACCTCCACGCTCCGGTTCTTCCCGAGAAAGATGCCGTCCTTGGGATAGATGGTGTGGGCGGCCGTGAGGATCCACCTGTCGCCCAGCAGGGCCCCGCCCCCGCGGCCGTAGATATTGGTGAAAGCTTGCCAGGGGAAGTCGCCCAACTTGGCTCTGGAGGAACCCAGGGCCTCCTGGTTCTGGGCGATGGGGGTGACCGGCCGGCCACAGACTGGGAGAGAAGAGAGACAGAGAGACGTACAGGGGACATCAGCAGCTGCATCAAGATGCATTTGTTAAAGACCTGCTTCCGTGAAGCGCTCTCTCTCCTGCGCCTCCTCAGACGATTTCTTTTTAAATAAGAATCACTCTTATTTTACCTTAATAATAGGATTTAAAAAAATTAATTCCAGTGTCATTAACACGCAGCGTTATATTAGTTTCAGGTATGCAGTACAGTGATCCCACAGCTCTACAGGGTACTCGGTGCTCATCACAGTAAGTGTGCTCTTGGTCCCCTTCCCCTGTTTCCCCCATCCCTCAGACATTTTAAGGCCACTTCTTCAGACTCTTGGTGGGGCCATCCTGAGCAAACTCATGCAGCAAGCAGTTTGTCCTCAGTGCCTGTTGCCTGTTTTCTGTGTCCTTCCTCATCGTTGACATCTTCCACCATCACCTGCCCTCCAACCCACTGCCCAAACACTGCATCAGCCTGGCCTGAGAGCTTTCTGAGGGTCAGGAGTGAGATTTGAGAAATGTATTCAGATTGGGTTAGAAAGGCAATGCTTTGACTTAAAAAAAATAAAAAAAAAAAAAGGATTTCAAAAACAGTGAACTTGAACCCTCATATCTTGCTGGTGGGAATGTAAAAGGATGCAGCCCCAGCGGAAAACAGCCTGGCAAGTCCTCAAAAAGTGACACCTACAGGTGTGATGTGATCTAGCAATTCCACTACTAGAGATATGCCCAAAAGAATAGAAACATATGTTCACACAGAAACGCGTACACGAATGCTCATAGTAGCATTTATCCCTAAAAGGCAAAAAGTGAAAACAACCCAAATGTCCTTTAATTGATGAATGGATGAACAAAAGGTGGTATATCCATGGAAAGGAATGGAATCCTAACACCTGCTACAACATGGATGAACCTTGAAAACAAGCTAAATGAAAGAAGCCAGACACAAAGGCCACATGCTGCATGATTCCCTTTATAGAAAATGTCAGAAGAGGCAAATCCATAGAGACAGAAAGTAGATTAGTGGTTGCCAGTGGGTGGTGGAGGGGAGAGTCTGAGGTGCTGGGTTTCTTTTTGGGGTGATGGGAATGTTCTGGAGTTAGTGGTAATGGTGGCATGACCTTGTGAATATACTAAAAATCACTACATGGTATACTTTAAAATGCTTAAGATGGTGGATTTTATGTGACATAAATTTTATCTTAATAAAAAGTATTAACATGGCAGACTTCCTGCCACTGTGGCATGTAGGTAGGGAGATGTTTTGGGGACAGAGAACCTGCCTGTGTATCCTTAAAGCAGACCATCCCAAGAGAGGGGTTTCTCTTCTTTCCACTCTTCTGACCCTCTTCGCCTTTACTGTCCCCTCTGATGAACTTCCTTTATGCTTTTACTTTCTCAGTTATCTCTTGATCCTGAATAAGGGACAAGATTCTTGCTTCTCCTTTTCTGGGCCTTCTTGGTTCCCCTCTTCTTCTGCACCTTCTGCCTTTATCTCTCCCTGTCGACCCTAAGGCTTTCCTTTAACCCCCTATGTCCTGCTCCCGCGGGCCACACATACAGCTGAGGTTTCTTCAGGAAGTGGCCACAGGGTCGGCGCTGGGAGGTCCCTACTCACCCGGGATGCAGTGAGGAAGCTCCTCCCTGTCTTGTGTCTCCTTCCAGGGGCCCTGGGGTGTGCAGGTGAGTGTCCCTGGGGAGTGAAATGAGGGGAGGCAGAGAAACAGATTCACAGTTGGGAGGTGGGGGTGCTAGGTGCCCAGAGCGCCTCTTGCTGGGAGTGAGGCAAATAGGAGCTGGTTCCCCAGCAGGCGGGGACGCACCTGCTGGCGCGGCCTGATAATAGGGCTCCTGGCAGCGCTTCTGGGTCTTGGAGGGGCTGTCTCCACGTGTTCGGGCCTCAGAGGCTTCCCTGGTCTGGCTGACGGGCTGACTGCGGTTCACACCTGTAGGAAACCAGTGGTCAGGAGGACCCCGAACTGGCAGCCCTGGGACTGATTCCGGCCCAGGGCCATATTTAGTGTGACTTGCACAGTCTTTTATTTAGAACATCTGAACTGTTTTTCACTGATAAGATCATCCATGATAAAAATGATTAAAAAATGGAAAGTAACGGTGATAAATAGGCTGTAGGGGATACAGGCATCGTCATACAGGGCTAGTCAGTGCATGTTAGCAAAACCTCTTTGGAGGGAAATTCAGCAATGCTGAAACTTAAATTGCAAATGCCTTTTC